AGAGATGCAAATTAAAACCACCATGAGATACCACTTCACACCAGTAAGAATGGTCATGATAAACAAAGCAACCAACAAGTGTTGGAAAGGTTGTGGAAAAAAGGGAACCCTAGTTCACTGTTGGTGGGATTGCAGACTGGTACAACCATTATGGAAAACAGTGTGGAATTTCCTCAGAAAACTAAAAATGGATCTGTCTTTTGACCCAGCAATTCCACTGCTAGGATTATATCCTAAGAACCCTGAAACACCAATCCAAAAGAACCTAGGCACCCCAATGTTCATAGCAGCACAACTTACAATAGCCAAGAGCTAGAAGCAACCTAGGTGCCCATCAGTAAATGAATGGATCAAAAAATTGTGGTACATATACACAATGGAATTCTGTGCAGCAGAAAGAAAGAAGGAGCTCCTGCCCTTTGCAACATCATGGATGTAACTGGAAAGTATTATGCTAAGCGAAATAAACCAGGTGTTGAAAGACAAATACCATATGATCTCACCTTTAACAGGATCCTAAACAACAAAACAAACAAATAAGCAAAATCTAACCAAAGACACTGAAATAAAGAACAAGCTGACAGTGACCAGAGGAGAGAGGGGAAGGAATTTCAGTGGAAAAGGGGAAGGGTTTGCAGGAACAAGTATAAAAAACACATGGACAAAAACTAGGGGGCGTAGAAATCGGGGGGATGTGGGGAGGGCTGAGTGGTTGGCTGGGATCGGAGTAAAAGACAGAAAACTGTACTTGAACAACAATTAAATTAAAAAATATATATTAGCCTTGGCTGGTGTAGCTCAGTTGATTGAGCACGGGCCTTTGAACCAAAGGATTGCAGGTTCGATTCCCAGTCAGGGCACATGCCTGGGTTGCAGGCCAGTTCCCAGCAAGGGGACACACGAGAGGCAACCGTACACTGATATTTCTCTCCCTCTCTCCTTCCCTTCCACTCTAAAGATAAATAAATAAAATCTTATATATATATATATATATAAAATTAACTCTATGAACAGGGATAAAAACATTGCAAATAAAATTCTAACAAATCAAAAAAAAAAAAGAAAATGCATCTTAAATACAGATTTACTGACTTGGACTTGGGAATCCATCTCTACTGTTCCCCTTAGGCAGGCCAAGAGCATCCAACAAACCTCTCATCTCCTGAGTGCTTTATTACTTGCTACCACTAGGAGTGACTCACACAGCTGGGGGAAGATAAACTTGCTCTGGCTGTTTCCTGTGCCCTGGGACTATTTGGGGCTAAGATCTGTACAGCCCTCCTGCTGAGGATTCCAGAATGTGTCCCTAAGGGATTCGGAAGTATGGAGCCATCTTGAGGAGCCACGGGTTTTCTTTGGTCAGGGACTTACCCTTGGGTGTGTCTGGGTGGAGGTTGACAGGTGAGGAGAAGGGCCTGGATACCTCGATCATGCTTTGCACTTTCTATCTCATGAGCCCACACCCAAGTTCCTTTTGGGGGGATCTGCAGTGCTGCTTGCCAGGCAGGCCTCAAATATGATTGGACACCACTGCAACTGGAGTGGATGATCCAGCCAAAGCAAGAACCAAAATAATTATGGTCAGGGTCCAAGGCATAGTGGTATATTCTTTGTTGCAAAAAGCCAAGTGCAAAGAGCCACATGAAACTTGGCTCTCAGGACCCAGATGGTGTTCACTGTTGTTGTTCACTGGGTCAGACAAGTGAAATTTAGATACACCTCAGAGCTCAGGTTTACAGAGCAGGAACTTGGTATGACTGGGCAAAACCATTTTGGGAGTTTTGAGTCTAGGCTTATTGCAGGTAACCAGTAAAATATGACTGACTTGCAAAAGAGAAGCCTCTTCAGGAGGCCCTTTCTCCTGCAGGATGTAGGACAGAGACTTAGAAAGATGCACCATCTCCAGATTTAGGCTTGTCATCTGTGGTGGTGAGTGAGCTATAATATGGGTCAATGCATGTTTATATAAGCTTTTTTTGCACTAGATGCTAATTCCCAAACTTCTCTAGATGTATCTTTACAAACCAATGCCACCGATGGAAATAACAGGCTTCAAAGTTAAAAAGTGTATTTTATATTTATATTCACATCATCTCTGTATAGAAATCATTGATATTTCAGTACTTAAAAAACACAGAAAAAATGTAAAAGGTGAATTACAACTGAAATGATTTTTTCTTACCATATACTATGAGAAAGTTAGTCTTGAGAATTATTCCCACAAGCTGAGTTCTGTGACATTTTATGTCCCTCTGCAACCATTTATTCTTTATTGATAATAAGGAATCACAGGAAAACAAGTTAGTTTTGTTTAAGAAAAATATCTACCCAGGCAAATAATGCAAGAACTAAATTAAATAGTTGAGAGCTCAGAAGGTGTAAAGACAGTGCAGGCTCATCCCTGCAGTGTGAGGGGGGCTGGGGTCTGAGAGCACCTGCAGCCTGCGCCCTGGCCCTGCCGCTTTGTTCTCTGGGGATTCTTGGGCAAGGACCATTTCTCTTTGCTTGTGTCTAGAACATCAATCCATGAAGTAGGGTAAAACCTTTTTTAAAACACCATTTATAATCAGATTCTGTTTCATTTATAATCAGATCCCATTTCCTGTTTCCGTTCCACTGTGACAGTTCTGAGTCGGCGTATTTTCTATGTTTGTTGACAAGAGAGCTTTCTAGTATTTACAAAAGGAATTACAGGGCCGTATATATGGCCTTTTGAGTTTTCACTTTGTATTAATATAATCCTCATAATGACCCTGTGAAGCAGATACTATTATTAGTACTTCACTTTATAGAAAACTGAAGCACGGAGGGTCAGTAGCCTTTATGATCATATGGCTAGGAGGTATCAGAGCAGCATCCACACCTGGGCCACGATCCTGTACTCTGGGCATGTGGCCACTGCGCCTCCCTCAGGAAGCACAGGCTCACCTGCTCCTGAGCCCGCTGTGTCCATATGCACAGTGTGAGGGGAGCATGTCACCTGCCTGCTGTCCTAAAGGAAAGTCACTGTCCCTTCAAACGTCTGAAATGGGCTTTTCACTTGGTGTCATGTTTCTACCATCCATTTTAAAGGAGGAACTGATTTTTCAGAGCCTCATTTCTAATTTGTAAAACGGGTTTCCTTTTTTCTGTGCTTAAAACATCTAAGGGATAGGAATCTCCCAGGTAAGATAGCCATGTGCTCATTAAACCAGAATACATGATCTCATACCAGGTGCTACTGTTATTGTAATTCTCTCTTAGAATTTTATAATGCATTATTCTATTCCAGGAGTTATAATTACCTTATATAATTCAGCTTTCATAAATAGATGAGGCCTAAACTATATTTTTCCTTGAAATTACCATGCCATTTTCTGATAATTACTTTTAGATTCTTTTAAAACTACCTATACTGTATTTTGCTTCCTGACCTGTGTTGAATTCTGTGTTTCCTCTGGAGGGCAGGAGTACGCCACTGGAAAACAAGCCTGGCCAGCTTGCTTGCTTGTCTCTAAGCATTTAACAAGAATCTTTACCCCCAAGGCTGTGCTGACATCCTCATCCAGCCCGGCAGAGGAGTACATTTTGAATTAATTTTTAATCATGTAAAATAAATTCTTGTAAGAGCAGAGGCCAGGGGAAATATGTTTCCTAGCCTTGATGATTAACTTCTTTGTACATGACAAAAGCTCCCCCCGGAGGTCACTTTTTCTCCCAGAATATTCTAGAATGTGAGTTACGTATTGGACTTGGAAGAGCACTTTGAGAATACAGTAAATTAAATCTTGTCACCTGAACATTAGCCAGAGTCAATGGCAGTGTCACAGCAGGGCCCAGGCAGGGTGGCCTAGTTGCACAGGTTAGTTACCCTTGCTGAGTGACTCCACCTGGTAGCAACAGGAAGACCCAGGTCACTTTAGAAAGGGGCAGCTGGCCAGGATGATCTGGAGCTTAGAAGCAGCCCCAAATCCATGCAGCAAAAAGATTAAAAAATGACGATCAATTAGGACAGATTACCTTTCTTAAACTCACTCACACCCTTTTTTTAAAAAATGAAAAAAAAAATCAAATTGTTTTAGACTCTCCAAAAAGAGGCACCATCTTCTACTTCAAAGTAGTCAGGGTTGGATTTGTATATAAAGTGATGTATTAAAGAACTATTTTTGTAAGTAGCATTTTTCTTTTGTTCCCAATAAAATAATTTTTGAGCTATAACCTTTGTTCAAATTATTATTTTGTCAGATCTAGTAGTCTAACCAATGAGATCTTATTTAGCCTGATTAAGATGCCAGGAATTTCAATGTGACTCAATCCCCACTTCATCTTTCCTATGCTTAACTTTCCTATGCAAAACCCCAAAATTATGTAGCTCAAAATAATCAGCATGCAGATTATTTATTTAAAATACTGTCCTCTTTCAAACAGTTAAGCTCTTATTTATACTTCTTGTAAAATTAGAACTGTGGAACTGTACAATTTGAATCTATATTATAGTTATTTACTGAATATATCTGACTTGAACTTTGATATTGACATAAAGTCAGCCCAATCAGATACAGCCTCCATGGGAATGTGCCCATGTGGCCTTCCCTCTCATTGCATCAGTCCCTCTGCTGCTTACTGCCTGGTTCTTCCTGTCTCCACATTTCAGCCTACATCTCTTCTCAGCGTTGAACCATCTGCTTGGTGGTCCACTGGCAGGCTTACTCCTAGAAATTAGATCTTACCTGCACATCTTCTCTGTCAGATTCTGTACATGTAGTGTCAGGTACTCCTCATTTGTGAGAAATGGCACATACTGTTTGCACATTTACTTAAGCTGTAGGCACTTGAGGGCTTGGATTTGTTTTACATCTCTGTGGGTTCCCATTTTGTAATAAATTTATTTTGGTAGCATAAATTATTATATCCTTGTACTGACTCCTCTCTTTATTGAATTTTTTGTTTGCCACGGGCTAACTGTATGGCTTCTTCAGTGTAGCAGTTTATGATGCAAATTTTCTCTCTTCATCTGTGTCTGCCTTTCTCCTCTCTTTTCCCAAATCCACGCCAAGTTCACTCGCTGAAGGAAGAATTCAGAGAGCAGATGGGATCTTCTAAAAAGGCCTGTGATGCAGTCACAGCTGGCTGTCACAGCCCCCTTCTGGCCTGCAAAGATGAAATGGAGATGGCTCTAGAAAGGAATTTGTCCTCTGAACGTCAGGAATCTTCTCTAAATTTCTCTAAGAATCTAGAACTAGTGATTTTCAACTTGGTGGATTCAGTGGCCCTTTTATGATAAATATTGTGTCCTACCCCCCTTACTATCCAAAAGTGAAATTCAAAGTTAATGCCTATTCTTAATAACTTTTTGGGAAAAAATTCATATTTAAACACCAGTGTTGGTATCTGACATGCGTAATATAAAAGAGACCAATAAGAAAAGCCATCCATGTTAAACTAGTCTGAATATCAGTACCCTCAGTGCTCTGATGCTATTACAGGACAGACATGCTGAAATGGTCACCTGCATGCACATCTGTCCCGGAACCTGCAGGGAAACTGACCCAGGCACAGGCCAGGTGTGCCATTGCCTTCTGTGTTATCATTTTCCAAACTGCTGACTAATTCTTTTTAAGTCTCCAAACCCAGCAAAGTACAGTCTTCTCTCAACTCACATCATAGTTGCATTTCTAGAAAATTCAGAAGCTATTTTACCTGTGTGAAAAGACTTTGTTTAAATGCCCAAATGTTCGATTCCAGACTTGTATCATTATAAATGAAGTTTTCATCTCCTAGGATGTCAAAGGGAGCACTTGAAAGTCAGGTGCAACATGAGACAGTTCTTTGTTCTGCTGGAGAGGCTTACACATCATGGGACATCTGGCAGTGCTGTCCCCTGCCCCTAAAATGTTAGTAGCATCCTCTTGATCACTGGTGTCATCAAAAGTGTTTTCATGAGTTTTAAATAAAGCCCCTAAAGGGTGGTATCACACCCATAAAGAAACACTGCTAAAGAACACTGTGGATGCCTGGTAATAAATCTGATGGTATTTTATTAAAGAGTGTAACTGTTATACAAGCCTGTATCAGAGGTATAGTCATACTGAGAGATCATTGTTAGTCTTGTTGCCTATCGAGGGTCAAGTCCATGTCTTACTGTATCCATAGAGTCCAACACAGTATCAAGCAGTTAATTGGTGCTCAGTAGCTGTCTGTTGAATGAATAAAGACTCATGAATGCCACCCCATTTTCAAAGGAACTAATATCATGTTTATTAGTAATATATATACCACTTATATCAAACTTCATTGATATTACTAGTAAGCTATTAAATGCTGATTATACAAACCTAGAAAATAGTCAATGATTTGTCCTCATTAGAGAATATTATCTTTCCTCACCTGTCAAAGTTTTAAAACATAATGTGAGAAAAGAGATGCTGGTAATGTTTACAGATTTTGGTGTTCCTCCCTTTAAAAAATATACTCTTCCATTCTTAGAGAACTATTGAGACCTTCTGAGTACAATAGGACAGAGAAAAACAATAAAGACAGCCTATCCCCAAGGACACTGTTATCCTTTCCGAGAGCTGGACTGTACATCTGGACCCTGTAATGCTAACAACCAAGTGCCACATGGAGCAGGGATGTCATTAAAGACAGAGCCGGGGAGTTGATGATCATGGGTGGTCACTTCAGGGAAGGAGAGGGCTTGGGCTCCATCAAGTAATGGATAGAATTTGAAATGGTGATGAAGACCACATTCTGCGCAAGGAGAGGAGAATGTAACAAAAGTTTAAAGTCAGCAGTAAACGTGATGAGTGTGGGTGGGAGGCACCAGGGGAATGGCCAGGTGATGGTGGTGGTGGTGGTGGTGAGGGGTAAAAAAAAGTTTGCCTTTATGGGAACAAATGTAAAGAAAGCTGGTTGGCAGAGTGGGGACCAGACTGAATAGTTTTGACCAGAATTATACTTTGGAAAGCCTGATGTTAACTGTATGGTACTTTAATAAAAACAAAAGTGCTCTCAGAGATCTGGTTCCTTTTTCACTTATTTATGTCAGTGAAAAGAAAACATCTATGGTCATATTTTTGTGGGGTTTTTTGTTGTTGCTTTGTTTCTGTTTTTATTTTCAAAAATATTTTATTGATTATGATATTACAGTTTTTTCATTTTCTCCCCTTCACTCCCCTCCACCATGCACACACACTCCCATCCACATTCCCTCTCTTTAGTTCATGTCCATGGGCCATACATATAAGTTATTTGGCTTCTACATTTTCCATACTATCCTTACCCTCCCCCTGTCTATTTTGTACTTATTCTCTGCTACTTATGCTCATTTATGCTACTTATTCTCTGTACCTTTTCCCCCTTCTCCCCCTCCATCTCCCCTGTTGATAACCCTCCACATGATCTCCATTTCTATAGTTCTGTTCCTGTTCTGGTTGTTTGCTTAGTTTGATTTTGTTTTTGTTTTAGGTGTGCTTGTTAATAACTGTGAGTTTGCTGTCATTTTACTGTTCATATTTTTATCTTCTTTTTCTTACATAAGTCCCTTTAACATTTCATATAATAAGGGCTTGGTGATAATGAACTCCTTTAACTTGATGTTATCTGGGAGGCACTTTGTCTGCCCTTCCATTCTAAATGAAAGCTTTGCTGGATAGAGCAATCTTGGATGTAGGTCCTTGCCTTTCATGATTTCAGATACTTCTTTCCAGCCCCTTCTGGTATGCAAGGTCTCTTTTGAGAAATCACCTGACAGTCTTATGGGCACCCCTTTGTAGGTAACTATCCTTTTCTCTCGCTGCTTCTAGGATTCTCTCCTTCATTTTAATCTTGGGTAATGTAATGATGATGTGCCTTGGTGTGTTCCTTCTTGGGTCCAACTTCTTTGGGACTCTCTGAGCTTCCTGGATTTCCTGGAAGTCTATTTCCTTTGCCAAATTGGGGAAGTTCTCTTCTATTATTTGTTCAAATAAGTTTTCCACTAGTTGCTCTTCATCTTCTTTTTCTGGTACCCCTATAATTTGGATGTTAACATTTAAAGAAGTCCTGGAGGTTCCTAAGCCTCTCCTCATTTTTCTGAATTCTTGTTTCTTCATTCTTTTTTCTTTGGTTGTTTCTTTCTTCCTTCTGGTCCACTCCCTTGATTTGAGTCCCAGTTGCCTTCCCATCAGTATTGGTCCCCTGTACATTTTTTTTTTAGTTTACTTAGCCTAGCCTTCATTTTTTCATATAATTTGGGACCCAATTCAACCAATTCTGTGAGCATCTGGATCGCCAGTGTTTTGAACCATGCATCTGATAGGTTGGCTATCTCTTTATCGCTTAGTTGTATTTTTTCTGGGGCTTTGATCTGTTCTTTCATTTGGGCCATTTTTGTTTTGTTTTGTTTTGATGCGCCTGTTATGTATTGAGGGGCTGAGCCTTAAGTATTCACCAGGGCGGAGCAACCTGCGTGGCTGCGTAGTGACGTTGTATGTCGGGGAGGGGTCTGAGAAGGAACTATGGCGCTTGCTCTGCTCTTTGTCGGATTTCAGTCTCTTCCCCTGCTTCCCACAAGAAAATTGTGGCCCTTCTGGTGCTGATTCCCAGGTGAGTTGGCTTTTGTATGTTCTAGGACCCTGTGTGTCCCTCCAATGAACTCTCCTGTGAGACTGGGAGTTTCTCCCATTGCCGCCTCAACCCCCACAGGTATTTTCAATCAGAGGTTTTAGGCTTTATTTCCCCACGCTGGGGCCTTGGGTTGCTCAGTTCATCCTGCTCCCCAGTTGTTTCTACCGGTTTTATCTGCATGTGAACGTGGGACCACCCACTGCCTTACTAGCCTGGGTCCTCCAGCCACCACCTTGCCGCAAGTCCTCTCCAACTGGCTTCCAGTCTCCACTCTTCTCAGCAGTCTGGATGAATGTGTCTTCTTAAACTCCTTGGTTGTCCAACTTCCATACAGTTCAATTTTCTGTCAGTTCTGGTTGTTTTTTGTCTTTAAATTGTTGTTGTCCTTCTTTTGGTTGTGTGAGGAGGCACAGTGTGTCTACTTGTGCCTCCAACTTGGCCCAAAGTCCTCTATGGTCAGATTTTGAATCAGATTCTTAGTAGTCATGTTGAGCAGTACTCAAAAGCAAGAATTAAAAAAGAAAAAATGTTTTTACCTTTTGTTATTATTTTACTTTATTAACATATTTTTCATTGCCTTCATTCAGTTTAACTGATGTTTAATTGCCTTAATTCAGTTAACTAATGTTAGAACAGATGAGAACACAAAGTTAAAAGAAACTATGCTTTGGTTTGGAATCAAAAGCTATGACACCTTAGGTAATAATCTAACCTGGTGAACCTCAGTTTTTCCATATTTTAAATGAAGTAATACCTCATTCATAAGCACACACACAGTTCTGGGTTAATTACAATAGCATGTAAAATAGTACATAAAACACACTTAATAATTATTAGGTCTCTTACTAGATTAAGATATTTAATGTCTTTAAAGTTAGGTGTATTTGTGCTTAGTCTATGAATGTTACTACCATCTCTTCTTACGTGTTATGTTTAAAAAACTCAACAGACAAAGCAAGATAATCTTCTCCAATTAGGCATAGGCCTGTCTATTTTCTAGATGTGTACAGTCTAATGTTTAATAGCTTAATAGTAATATCTTACCAGCGTTTTACCGATTAAAGTAATAGTAGTTCCTTTGAAAATAGGGTAGGTGTTCATGAGTCTTTATTCATTCAACAAATAGCTATTAAATCTCATAAAAAGTACTTCTCCTCAGCCAAACAAGGGTTTATTCTCTGAGTGATCTTGGCTTCTTGGTGCTTGTGCTTTTTCACCTAAAAGCAGGGATAATGTATGAACTCCTAGAGTCACTGTAAGAATTCAGAGGGATGATGCATGGAGACTGCAGGGCACCGCAGTCTCTCTCATGCTCTTAGTGTCATGATGATGCCTACTAAGTGCGGTGCACACCCACTACCTCTTTTTGTCATTATTACAGTCCTCAGTGCTGTCTATTTTTTATTCAGCTTTATTAGCACAAGGCTGAAAGATACAATTATGAGATATTTAAAGTGTACATTGTAGTGGTTTGATACATTTATATTGCAAAAGCATTCCCCCCCCATCTGGCTAATTAACACATCCAGCGGAATGTATTATTCATGCTCCCATTTGTCTACGGGCAGGAGCTGAAGTATGGAGAAGTTAAGTAACTTGCTCAGAGTCACCAGTTGGTGAGGTTGGACTTGAACACATATCTTTTAATTCTAAATGGCATGGTTTCCACTATGGCAGTGCTGCCTCAGGCAGGCGTTTGTAACAGTGTCAGGATAACCCTTTCCTTCAAACTCCACTCAAAAAAATTCTTCATAGAACAGTTTGAAACCACTGGACAGAATAGCAAACATTTCTTTTTTTTATAATTAATTTTATTTAGTTATTTTTCAAGTACAGTTTTTTGTCTATTTTTCCCATCCCAGCCTCCCCCGCCCCTTGCTCCCCACCTCCCTCCCATTTCCACCCCCCTTAGTTCTCGTCCCTGTGTCCTTCCTATTGGTTCCTCCAGATCCCTCCCCCTTTTTCCCCTTAAGTTCCCTTCCTTCTCCTCTCTGGTCACTATCCCCTTGTTCTCTAGTTCAGTGTCTTTGTTTTTTTTTCTGCTTGCTTGTTTGTTTTGTTGTTTAGCTTCCTGTTAAAGGTGAGATCATATGGTATTTGTCTTTCAGCACCTGGCCTATTTCACTCAGCATAATGCTTTCCAGTTCCATCCATGTTGTTGCAAAAGGTAGTAGCTCCTTCTTTCTCTCTGCAGCATAGAATTCCATTGTGTATATGTACCACAAATTTTTGATCCATTCATTTACTGATGGGCACCTAGGTTGCTTCCAACTCTTGGCTATTGTAAATTGTGCTGCTATGAACATTGGGGTGCATAGGTTCTTTGATATTGATGTTTTAGGATTCTTAGGATATAATCCCAGCAGTGGAATTGCTGGGTCAAAAGGCAGGTCGATTTTTATTTTTCTGAGAAAATTCCACACTGTTTTCCATAATGGTTGTACCAGTCTGCAATCCCACCAACAGTGAACTAAGGTCCCCTTTTCTCCACAACCTCTCCAACATTTGTTGTTTGTTGCTTTGTTTATGATAGCCATCCTGACCAGTGTAAAGTGGTATCTCATTGTGGTTTTAATTTGCATCTCTCTGATAGCTAACGATATTGAGCATCTCTTCATGTGTCTCTGAATGTTCTGTATGTCCTCCTTGGAGAAGTGTTTGTTCAAGTCCTTTTCCCATTTTTTAATTGGGTTGGGTGTCTTCTTAGAGTGGAGTCATGTAAGTTCTTTGTATATTTTGGAGATTAAACCTTTGTCTGAGGTATCATTGGCAAATATGCTTTCCCATACAGTTGGTTGTCTTGCTAATTTAATACTGTTTTCTTTAGCCATGCAGAAGCTTTTTATTTTGATGAGATCCCATTTGTTTATTCTTTCCTTTACAGTCCTTGCTCTAGGGGACATATCAGTAAAGAAGTTGCTGCGTGAAATATCTGAGATTTTCTTGCCAATGTTCTCCTCTAGGACTTTAATGGTGTTATGACTTACATTTAAGTCTTTTATCCACCTTTAATTTATTTTGGTGTATGGTGTAAGTCTGTACTCAAGTTTCATTTTTTTGCACGTAGCTGTCCAGTTCTCCCAACACCATTTGTTGAAGAGGCTATCTTTACTCCATTTTATGTTACTGCCCCCTTTGTCGAATATTAATTGACTGTAAAGAGTTGGGTTGATTTCTGGGCTCTCTGTTCTGTTCCATTGGTCTATGTGCCTGTTTTTTATGCCAGTACCAGGCTGTTTTGATTACAGTGGCCTTGTAATACAGTTTGATATTAGGTATTGTGATCCCCCCTACTTTGTTCTTCTTTCTCAAAAGAGCAGCTGCTAGAATAGCAAACATTTCTTGACACCCAGAGCCGCAGGTAACAACACTTTGAATAGTACCCACCCTGCTTACCTGAAGCCCTGCATTTCTAGTGACAGATAAAGATGAAAGGTATAACCTAATCTTAGCAATTGCTCTTCATTGTCAGTGCATTCATTCCCATGCCTTCATGCTGGCATAGTGGGCTGTGGGATTTGGGTGGGAAATTTCACTCTTCAGACTTATTCAACACAGTCTACCTCTCAGTATTGATCACCTGGAATTATTAACATGTTTGACTTATTGCTGCCATTTCATAACAAAGGTTTTTATCTGATTGCCAATCAGTATTAATTATTTGATCCCACTGAGGATGACTTTTCCTTATGAAAATAAATATTTTGGAAGTGCATCTAGAATATGAACAAACAAGAAAGTAGAGGCACGCCACACCTGGGCATATACTGGGTTGCAGAATCTACCATCTCAGCTCCACAGGTAGTCTTGCTCCTGGCACATGGCAGGATTTCAGCAAGTTGGAAATAAAGTTGATGGGTGTAAGGAAATGTTAAACAGAGGTCAAAGTGAATTACGAAACCAAAAAGACAGATTTTTAAAAATAGGCTTGTCCTTGAATACAAAAGAGTAGACGGGATGGAGAACAGAGGGGAGAGGGGAGGGAATTTCAGGGGGAAGGGGGAAGGGTTTAAAGGACACTTGGACAAGGGGGGTGGAAATGGGAGGGAGGTGGGGAGCACTGTGGGGGTGGGCCGGGATGGGAGTAAAAGACAGAAAACTGTACTTGAACAACAATTAAAATAAATTTTAAAAGATCTGTCTAAGGACATCTGACAATATTTTTAACTAAATCGCTGTGATTGAAAGTATATGGGCTCATGTGCTATAGCAGAGTCTGTTCCAAGGCCCCTTCGGGACAACAGCAAAATTTATGTAGTCGCGTTCACTCTGTTCTTGTGATGCTGGCCTCTTGAGAGATGTGCAGTTGTGGGGCAGCCAGAATTAGGAGCAGCCAGAGGTCACCACCTGCCACTGCTTGAGAGCACAGGAAGACAATAACTGTTAATATTGTTAATTAGTCATCATTACACAGTAAGACTCCATAGTCTTCTGCTGCTGGGGTTCGTGCTGTAGGTTAAACAAACATGAAATAGGAATGTCTGTCTTTAAAAAAAACTGAAAAGAAGCCCTGGCTGGCATAGCTCAGTGGATTGAGCACGGGCCTTTGAACCACACAATTGCGGTTCGATTCCCAGTCAGGGCACATGCCTGGGTTGCAGGCTGGTTCCCTGTAGGTCAGTTCCCAGCAGGGGATGCATGAAAGGCAACCACACATTGATGTTTCTCTCCTCCTCTCCTTCCCTTCCTCTCTCAAAGATAAATAAAAATTATTTAAAAAATAATAATAAATAAATAAATAAAAACTGAAAAGAGCTGGCTTTAAGAAAACAATGAATAGTAAACTATAGTTAACATTTATTTTTATCTCTTGTGTGGGGAAATTCAATGGGTGGCTAATAAATTCAGTTTGAAGAAATGCAAGGTATAATAAGTGTATGGTCCTGATACCTTGACTAGAGTTCATTTGTAAAGACAGATGTTTACATGGGAATCTTTACCATGAGGAATGCCTGTATTTTATTCATCAATAATAGAATCAAATTAAATCAGACAAAATACCAGTTTTGAAAAAGGAGCCTGAAATAGCCTAATCCTATGCCCTCTGCAAGAAACTTCTTGATGACATCCTTAGAGAGGGTGTGTCTGGCTTCTGTTCAGCTGCCTCCACCTTCCCGTCATTATCCAAAGTGGTGAGTATGGCAACCTCTGTCTTTATCCAGAGCATTGATCAAAACATCTAACAGATCAGAACAGCACCAGTGTTGTCATAAAACTAACAGTAATATCCATAAGCTACATGTAGCCAAAGGTCTAGCCATCATCTGTAAGTGAGGACTCTAATTAGAAATATTGAAATGTTTAAAGCTGCCCACAGCTCAGTTTTCTATATGACTAGCCTGAGTCTGAAATATTCCCCTCCTGGTGCCACATTTATCACAGAAGGCCTATCAAGTTGTCTGTCTGATGATTCTCAAAAGGTCAAGTCCATTTAAAGTGTTTCACTCTAACATGAGGAAATAAAGTTGTTTTCTATCTAACCAGCAAGAACCCATTTGCAAATCAGAATGCCTGTGTTTTACAGTCTTAGGACTCAAAGGTGAAGTTCACCACCCCTTTAACTGGACGTGCCCTGCCATGAAGGCCACACCTGAAGCTTGGGGTAGCATGGGTCTAAGGCCAGAGCTTCCCCAGACCAGCTCTACAGTGCCCTCTCTCCTCTTGTCTTGGACACCCTTGGCTTTAATAATCAGTTCTATACTTGCTGCCCTGGTTCCACCTGGACTCCCCCGTGAACAGTCCCTGTGTTTGTCCATCGCACTCAACATTTGGATAAAAGGTACCCCAGATCTCTTGGCTGCCAGCCCATGGAACTGTCACTCCTTCTAGTTGGGGTATGGAGAATTCAAGCAAATTCAGAGAACTAGGGATTAAGCAAATCATCCTACAGGCACATTAGATCATCAGAGGGCTAAGGGCCCAAGGTGATGTTGCCCTCATATGCACAGCAGAATACAGAGACCACTAGAGAAAATGAAATAATTTTTGGAGAAAGTCATACCTGACCTTTAATTTAGCATAGGCCATTGCTTGTCAAGGCTTGTGAACAGACAGGTACAAATTTGTTGTACAGATTTGTTCATGTACATATTATGACATTAGTTTGCTTGCTAGTTTGGCACATCATATTACATGATAGACTATTATATGATAGACATAGAATAAGTTAAATTGCAACAAAATTCAGTTTCATTTAGCCCTTTAGTATTCCTTGAACACTGCTCTCATGCCTGTGTTGTTTTGGGTAATAAAATTATGGCAAAGAATAAAACAGAAATAATCCCTGCCCCCACAGATCTTATATTCTCATTGAGGTGGAAGGCAGACTACAAATGAGTAAGTATGTACTATTCAGAAAGAAAGGTATGCTTCAATAAAATGAAGCAAGGAAAGGGGGTACAGTGACATTGGAATGAACCTTACCTTACATATGACGGTCAGGGCCGATCTTCCTGATGAGCGAGACCTAAAGAAAGAGAGGAGCAACATGTGGGGACATTTGGGCAGAGGCAGTTAAGGCAGACCTGCCCTGTTTTGTTATTGCTGTTGTTTTTTGTTGTTAACTAAAAGTCCACAAGGAAAGAGTATTTTTGTTCTAAGTCTGTGTTCTTAGTTGGCTGAGGTGATAACCTCAGGGCGTGTGTGTGTGTGTGTGTGTGTGTGTGTGTGTGTGTGTGTGTGCGCATATCCAGGTTTTTAATTAAGATGGAAGAGCAGTTAAGACATACATGTATTATGCTTCAGCATGAGAGTTGTGAGAGTTAGTCATCTTCCTGATTAGAAGAGCTCCTGTGGTCTATTTTGCAATTAGTGCTTAGCAAGCAACCTTGCAGGTACTGTTATTTTCTTTGTCCAAGTAAAGCAGGGGAGTTGGGTGAGGGCTAGAATAATCTAAAATTTGAATGAGGACTCTGATTCCTTACAGGTGCCCCACACCTGTGTTTAACCACTTCAGGAGCGCTGCCCTGGGTGGCAGACAATTTAATATGCAAAGCCTGGAGTGAGGGTGACCTCCTAATAGCCTGTTTGTGGGCACTCTGTTTCCTGAGAAATGTTGCAAAATTTCCCCAATTTTTTTGTTTTTTACAAAGCAGATGCTTCTTATGCTTCTCATTATTTCCATGAGTCTGGCTCTGAGAGGTTACCTATGTCAGGAGCAGGGTGGTGTTAGTGATGCTGTGTCTGGTCATCCAATAAGGACACCCAGCCACTGAGGTAAAGGAAGAACAAATAAATAAAACTGTAACCACCTCATAGCTACACTCTGAAGTGCCAACAACATAACTTCCATTGGTCCTAGAGGAAAGTTTGCAAAAACAAGAGCTCATTCTTTGACTGTTTTTGTTTAAATGCTTCAGTTCTTCCATATGTAAAATCAAAGATTTACTGAGATCTACCACTCAGTCTTTTCTTTCTTCCAATGACATTCTGAAGCAGGGGAGCCCTTGGAACTACATTTGGAACCATCTACCTATATTTGGTGCATTCCTTATGCTATTTTATATTAACCCTTACAGTAACCCTACTGTAGGAGGTGATGGTGCAGATAAATCCCAGAGATTCAGTGACTTCTTGAGACATATTTAATTCCGTGCTAGGACTTGGAACATCCTTCTTCCTGCCTAAATCTCAGAGGTGTTGAAAGTTATCACTGTGCAGCACCAGGACCCTCATACAGTCAGCACCCCAGTTAAGGGCGTGCATGGGTTTGACTTTAGCATTGAACTACTTCTGATGTGAGGGTGACCCTCCTGGGCTGGAGGGTCATTCCTGAGCTGGAAGTGGAGGTGCCTTCACCAGTAGGTGGCGATGTGACAGAACAGCAAGTAGGCACAGTGCACTTGGCAGGGCAGCCCAGAGAAGACTCTTCTAGAGGGAAGGTGTTAAAACTTATTTTTCTTTAAATAATTTCTTGAAGTGAATGCACAAAAGGTTAGTCATTTTAAAGTGACTCTTTAGTGGCATTTAGTACATCACAGTGTTGTGCGCTCACCACCCTATCTAGTCCAAAAACATATCCATCATTCTAGATTAAAACCCTTTAACCATTAAGCAGATTTTCGTCATTCCCCATCCTGGACCCCCTGACAAGAGCCCATCTGAATTCTCTCTATGGATTTACCTAGTTTGACTATTGCTTATAAATGGAATCATGTAAGATAGGACTTTTTGTATCTGGCTTCTTCTACTTGGCATCATGTTTTCAAGGCCTAACCACATAGCTTGTGTCAGTACTTCATTCTTTTCTTATGGCTGAATAACATTCCACTGCATGGATAGACCACAGTCTGCTCATCTAATCATCGAGTGGTGGACATTTGGGATGTTTCCACCCTTCAGCTATTGTGACTAGAGCTGATGTGAACATGGATGTACATGTAGTTCTTTGAGTCCTTGTTTTCATTTCTTTGGGGTACACACCAAGGGTGGAATTATGGGGTCATATGGCAATTCTCTGTTTAACTTTTTGAGAATCTACCAAACTTTTCCAAAGCAGCTGACCCACTTTGCATTCCCATAGCACAGTATAAGATTTTCAAACTTTTTTTCTAAACATTTTTGACCATGACTCACAATAAATATGTACATATTTTATATTACTAGGAAGTGTTCACATGTATAGGTATACATATAACATATATATCATGCATATTTAAATGTATAAAACAGAAATTTTATGAAACTGTGCTCACCCTTACTACCATACAATGAACTCTGATGTGCTTCTTCCTGTCCTATTTTCTTTTAAAAATTCTGCTAGTTTTAACCCACCAAATGAGTTAGTTCCACATTGGTAATGAAAAAAGTACACTTAAAAACTTATTTGGAAAAAATAAAAAAGGTCAAAAAAAGAAAAATGTATTTTCAACATTAGGATCGAACTTTATACTATCTTATATCCTGCTTTTTAAAAAAATTATAGTGAACATTTTTATATTAATCATTCTTCCAAAATATGATTTTTTAATAAATAAAATTTTTTTAATTGAAAAGTACCTGTTAAGATCACAGTACTATTCTACATGTATATAATAATGTATCTTCTTTCCATTTAGATAGTCAAAGAATTTAGGATATTATTTACCAATTTATCAATACATGTAAGTTTGGATGGAACTTATTTAACCTGTGAAGATGACTTCCTTTTGTCATATTCTCAGACATAGGCAACTTAGCTCACATACAAATGTGAGTTATATTGCACGTACTTGACACTGAGGGCTATAATTAGCTGGTGCTTTGTATTTTTTGGTGAGTGTTATACCTACCATTTCTAGAAGAAGTGCTATGATACATTTACTTTCTTTTATTGAATGGCTCTGTTCTTTCAGTGTTATGAGTATTTTATCAGCAGGATAGTAAAGACTAGAGTGGTGATGACAAAAAGAGCAAGTGGCAGTGACAGAAGAGAAGAGAGGAATAAGTACAACCGAGAGAAAAGCATGAGAAGCTTCTCAAATATGCAGCAAGTATGACCATCGTCAAGAATTACCTGAAAGTGAGCTGTCCTAGAAGGAGTGGCATTTGAGAGCAGTGGAGGCGAGTGGTTAGAGCCCACACTCTGAAGCAGGCCCCTGGGTAGGATTGAGGGCATACATAGGCTGAGATGGGAAAAATGTACATTTTACTTTTTATTAACCTCCAACAAAAATTCAGCAGTTTCTTCAATTGTGAATATAGGCAACAAGCATAGCATTAGTAGTGCCTGTGACCTGGCTATCAATTAAAATCACAGATATTTTCATCATGTTACAGTTGCTTTGGGTAGATTTAAATATTGTTTATGTTCATTATAATAAAATTATTATTCACATTAGGCATGTCCTGGATTAGTTCATCATCACCAAGCCCTTATTATATGAAATGTTAAAGGGACTTACCTAAGAAAAAGAAGATAAAAAAGATGAACAGTGAAAGGACAGCAAACTCACAGTTATTAAGAACCTAAAACAAAAAACAAAACAAACCTAAAACAAAAGCAAACTAAGAGGACAGCTAGATCAGGAGCAGAACCATAGAAATGAAGATCACAAGGAGGGTTAGCAACAGGGGAGTGGGAGGAGGAGAAGGGGGGAGAAGGTACAGAAAATAAGTAGCATAGACAATAGGTAGAAAATAGACAGGGGGGCAAGAATAGTATGGGAAATATAGAATCTAAAGAACTTGAGACATGTGTTCATGCACTAAAGGGGGGGGAATGGTGGGGGAGGGGGTGTGCAGGGTAGAGGGAAATGAAGGGGGGAAATAGAACAACTGTAATGGCATAATTAATAAAATATATTTAAAAATGTAAAATAAAATGAAAAAAAAGAAATGCATACGTACAATACCACACTTCGCTAGATTTTAGAATAATTTAATAATTGTATTTCAACATAACTGGTTTTCTTTGAAATCCCACATATTTTGTCTTATTTTGTGTAAACACATTCTGAGTAGGAGCCCATGGCTTTGATGCCAGAGGAGTTCATGACACAAAAACAGTTCAGAATGTCCAAGAGCCTCACTGTCCACTATGAGGGTCACCAGCCATTGACCACTCCTGAGCACATGGAATGTGGCCAGTCCACACTGAGATGTGCTGTGAAATACATACCAGGTTTCAAATAGTGAAAAAAAAATAATGCTAAATGCCACATTGATAATTTTATATTTATCACATGTTGAAATGATACTACTTGGGGTACATTGGGTTAAATAAAATATGTTCAGTTTCATTTCACCTGTTAATTTTTAATTATTATGATGTCAGTACTAAAAATTTTTAAGTTGCCTATGTGTCTCGCACAACATTTTTATTGTGTCACTGGCCCAAGTTCCAACTGTGACTCTCACACAACAAGCAATTATTCTCATTATTGTTCTTGTCACTATTTTACCATGTCCTCGCTGTTGGACCCCTATAAAGTTCAACTTCCTTATATGTGGGAGTAGAGAGGAGCCCAAAGAAGAGAGTGTGGCTATTTAATCCAGAGGGAGCCTTCTTCCCAAGACAGTTTTTACAGTCAGTAATGCCTTCCATCCCTTTCTTTTCCTTACTCTTCTGTTACCCTTCTAATGAACAACAAATTTTCATTATATGTGAAGTGATATACAAAGATAAGGATATAAGAATTCATAGATGGAGTGAAATTTTAAAAATTAAAGGATAAAAAAGGGAAAATTCCCTTGGAAAGCAAAAAGAGGGAAAATCGGCCTTGAAGTGGGGTGGAGCGGTGGGCAGGCTGCAGTTGCCTCCCATCCTGTATTTATTCAGAGAGTTGAGGTGGCATTTGGATACAACCCAGGCCAACTACCAGCGCATTCCTGGAGTTTGGAAATGGCCACTGAAAAAGCAGGACAACCTTGTATGTCCCTAAATCAAAAACTACAAGTCCAGCGGGCTATGTACAGTGGGTGGGGAGGTGGCAGGGTGTCTCTTTAAGAGTAAAGGGCTGATGAGGGCTGCGGCCCTTCTTGTTTGTC